AGGTGAAAATAGAGCAAAAGGACCGCTAGTCTTTGATTTTATTTATTTTCTGCTGTGTTTTACTTGCATCTATTTGAAAGAGTGAGTGTAAACACAAAAAATATTAAAATATTATATAGAGCTAAAAATGATTACACATAACTTACGTAAAGGAAAAGTTCAGGCAAAGGTCATAAATAGGTTTCTTTAATTTTCTACTTTATGCCACCTCATTTCATCTCCCCTCTGTCCTCCTGCCTGTGACCTAAAAGTCATTCTCAGTGAAGCATCGTGAAAGATTTCTCATCTCCAAAAATAAATATTCAGTAGAGAGTACGAGAATAGAAAAGGGTCAGCGGACGTGCAAGGATGCACAGGTATAACCTTAGAGGAAGTTCTTTCAGCAACTGTGATGTGATGTATATAAGAAGCATGACACTTGGTTAATTGAATTCAAAGTATATATAGTGTTAAGCTGTAATGTATGTGAAATATTCTGCAGGACACTGCTGTGATGAGCAGAGAGAAGGTGAGAGTTAGAGCTTTTTTATGTCTTATACACAGTTTTCAACACTTTATGAAGCGCAATAAAAAAAAAAGCAGTGCAGTAATAGACAACAGTTCACAATTTAAAACTAAATAAAAAAATTTCTACAGGTCATAATATAAATCTGTAAAGTTGTGATAGTATACTCATGTTGTCAGCGTCTGTTCTTTAAGTTGGACCAAGGTCAGCAGATTTCCTGTTCCTGAATTTCATATAAATACATTATGTCCATAATCACTTATTTGTGCCATCATTTATTAAATTTGACGAGTGTTTGCAGTCAAGTCAGAGTGTTCTATGCAAACTGTGGCTGACCACAGTAATCTGCTAGTGATCAAAGCAGTTGCGAGGAGGTTTTTCTCTAGAAACATGACTTTCAGATACTGTTCATCTGTTGTGGATAGTTTCTTAGACCTGACACTTCTTTATTTATCCTCCACTTTGAGGACACTGTACATGTTGTCCAGATATGCCAAGATTTTGGCTAATAACGCTTTGGGAATCACTTTAGTGGTGCAAAAAAATTATTTTATACCTGTCAAACTGTGTTATCGTTGGCATTTTTCATACATTTAACTGAGGAAATAACTAGTAATTATGTGTTTTTGCAACAGATTGCTAGTAACAAAGTCCCTAAATATACAATTTAATGTTGCCTGTTATGTGTAGACAAAAGACTGTTTCATCCCTTGACTTAGGTGTATTTTTATGCTTATATGATTCATAGGTCAGTGTTAATAGGCTTAACTTAACAAAACAAAACAAAACAAACAAACAAAAAATGCTCAGGACTGGATTGAAAATGAGTGACATGGCAGCCTGGAGAGCCTGGAGAGCCTGGAGAACCAGTTCTTTTGCTTCCATATAGTAAAAAACAAAAACAAAACAATACTGCAAATCCTCAGCCATCACAAATAAAAGTCACATCAATTCATTTTCCATCCTCATCTGAAATGACAGGATGTTACGGTGCTAATGTCAGTAGGTTCATGTGTTGAACATGTAACAGTGTTGCGTTCACTTTGTTGCGAAACATGGTGCATATGTGCAGGCATTCTGTAGCTCATCCCATCACGATAAAGAAACAACAAAGAAGTCAGGTGGGGTGCAGAACATGGGAAATGAAACAGTCATTCAAGTTTTTAACAATGTTCCAGATTACAAACAGTGTCATGCAGGCTGTAAACACCTATCCCAACCACAGATTTACAGTTTCAATGCTGAACCTAGTTGTTTTTGACTTTGCTGCTCTGTGTATGATAATCGTTTCCAAATTTGTAGGGACACAATAGATATAAAATAGATGTGAAATAGATGTAAAAGCTGAAAAAAAAAGGTTCAGAGTTGCAATAAGTGACAGCAGTTACTTAGATGGGTGGATATTAACAAGAGTTTTTGATACCAGTGCCAGTATCAGTTCCCCCCTGTGCCTTTATCATTTCCCTTATTGTAGATAACGTAGAGGTATGCAAGTTTCAACTGCAATATGTCTGATTAATTTCATCTGAGTTTTGATTAGCTGTTATAAAATACAGCTGTTTGTTTGTTTTATTATGTCTGAAATAAATAAAGATACAATACAATACAATACAAAAGGGGCCCGAAATGCAAAAAATCCACTCTTAAAAGTGATTTGATTTTTCACTGTGTCAGTTCTTGCAACGCATTTCCTCCAAAATCTGATCTCTGCACGAGCCTATACATTTATACTGAAAAGTGTTCAAGTGACATGACTCCTCCAAGATAACCTAATACTACTTTAGATTGATTTTTTAATAATCCAAATCCCGCATGGTCATGGTCACCTCAAAAGAGACCTTCCCCAATTGGGATATCTCCCGATGGGGTAAGACCTTAAAACTTAAATCATG